AGAGCTCTTGGCTTCTGAGTGACCTCTCTGGGTCCTATGCTCTACTCCAGGGTCACAGTTAAGATATTTAGCAACCAGGATGGCATAGGCACTGGCCAACTGGAATGGAGAAGGGCTTTATTGCTGGAGGTCTTAGCTGCACCTGGCCTGAGCTTTTAGGTGCTGGATGTTAGAGTGATGGGGAGCACCTGAGGGAAGGACCAGGTTGTGGGTGTGAGGAGGCCTTGGGGAGCTCAGAGCATCCACTGTTCACCTATTAGTACAAACTTCTTTTGACATTCTACCAACCAGTGTGGCCACAGTCCTGCTGGGTGTCAGGACTGAATGTTGGCTCTGCCATACCATATGAGAAAGGTGGATTGGAGCCTCTCACTTTATGTGAATCAGAATCACTTAGGGATATTGTTAAAAGCACAGACACCCGGAACCCACCTCCGAACTATTGAGTGAGACTCCCTAGGGCCCAGGCCAGGCTTACTACACTCCTAAGACCTGACTGTCCTGGATCAGCTGATCCCTAAGTATTCAGCTGCGACTTTCGAGGGGGTTATGAGGACTTGAGAGATGGGGGTCCAGCACAGTCTCTGGGGGGAATATGCCTAATTCAGGGGCAGGTCATGTGGGTGAGTGAAGCAGGTTGCTGTGACACAGACGTTGAAGAATGAATGTTCATTTATTTGAAGCCGCCTTGACCCTGATCCAGCCCCCTGGATTGCTGCTGCCGGGGAAGGCAGGCCTGGTGTGGACGGACCCCCTGACTTTTCAAGACAGACTGGAGGTCACTGAGCTATGATTTGAGTCAGTCCTGCATCTCATCAAGACACAGGTGGGGGCGCTGCTTTAAACTCTTCCTGCTCTGAAAGCCCTGTCCGTGGAATGGGTGAAGGGTGAGGGTGAGGCGGGTTCCACACGCAAAGGGAAAGAGACAAGTCCTAAGTAAAGATCTTGATGCTGCTCGATGGGACCATTTCCTCAGGTGAGGTCCTCAGAGTATGTCCCCAGCTGGGCATGATCCACCTTCCCTACTCAGATGTCTCCCATTTTCCCCCAATCAAATCCTACTCTTAGCAGTTTTCATAGCACCAAAATGCCAGAGTCTAACCACATGGCAAAGGGGCACTCTTCCTAGGTACTGTCTGAACCTTAGCTGAGGGGTGATGCTCTCACAAGATGGAATTTTCACCTTCAGATTTGAGGGGCTGGGGTTCTACCTGGGATCTCTGGAATGTTCCACAAGGGAATAAATTCCTCTAAGTATTAAGTGAATTTGGGTCCATTGCTACATTTAAACCCAAATGCTGAAGATCTTCTCCTGCTTGGAATACCCTTTTCCCCACCACTTTGTGTATCTGATTCTCTCTTGTCCTTCAGGACTCAGCTTAGACTGTGTTCTGACTTTCAAGATGAGGCTGTGTCAGTCTCCTTTCAGCACCACAGTCCCAGGCAGGCCCTTCTGTTAGAATTTCTTCACATGAAATTTCAACAGCCTGCTTGCTTAAAAACATCCCAGTCTAAAATTTGTTAGGTGTTCATCACGCCAGCACTGTTTAAGTCACTTTGTGTCATTATCTCAGATAATCCTCATAATATCCCAATGACGTTGACACTACACTGTATTATTCCTATGTAAGAAAACGAGGCTCTGAGAGATTAAGTAACTTGCCTGATATCCCATGGTCAGAAAGTGGTAAATGAAGACCTGAACTGTGTGTGTGTGCAGCGGAGCGTTCTAGGCTCTTTCGCATTTGCAACCAAAAATGCACTCTGCTGCCTCCTGGCAGTCCAGAGTCAGTATCCTAAAGTCAAGGATGGGTTTTTGGTTCATATAGCAAGTCCCAAGTTGGGCTTTGAAGTCAGACAGTTTGAGACTGCGTCCTTGCTCTGCCATCATCTGTGGTTAACCTTCAAGCTTCAGTTTCCTTCTCTGAAATGGGGACAATCTACCTGTCTTATAGGGATATGGTGGAAATTACATGACAGGATGTGTTTATCATCTTCACTGCTGTGCCTAGCACATAGTAGATGTTAAAAACATGTTGGGGCTGGGTGTGGTGGCTCATGCCTGTAATCCCACACTTTGGGAGACCAAGACATGGGGAGGTGAAGCCGAGGAGTTTGACGCTAGCCTGGGTAACATAGTGAGACTTCATCTCTACAAAACATGAAACAATAAATTTACAAAGCATGTTGGTGGAATGAATGAGTTAAAGCTGCCAGTGAAGCCAACTTTTACTTGGAAAAAACATCCTTTACCCCTTTAAAACCCTCTTAAAACTCCAAAAGGTGGGATTTGCTTTGGGAGAGGGTAAGTTGGATGCTGCACGTGGGTGAAGAGGCTGGAGGGAGTGGAGTTGGCAAGGCTTGGAGTTGTTTGCATCTCTCAGAGAGGTTATCCCATAGAGATAATAAATAGACGGTGGGAAGAATATTTCATTTCATTTGGAAGGCATGGACATCTCCATTCCATTTAAGCACCCTGCTTGTCAGTCACAAAACTTAAAAATTAACTGGATACATTGCCACTGAGGAATAGACTAAATATTTGGTCGGTCAGTCATGCCATATCTCTGCCACTCTGAGTGTAGAGTAGACGGCTAAACATTGCTAAACTCATTGAGAGTGCTTTTTGGTAAAGATGAGGAATGGGTACTTATACTTTGACCAGTCACACAATGCCTCCCTGTTCTTGGACTTTATCTCATTTCTCCATCTGGATTATTATATGTAGTTCAATGAGGCACGGATTTGGGCATGTTCATTTTGTGGAACTAATGGGTCAATATCTCATGTTTGTTTGAGTCCACAAATGTGAGATATTGACCCAAAGTTTGTGAGATATGGACCCAAACATGATTGACATCATTAGAACAACGTGCTATCATGTTGGCTCTACCAGTGCCAAAGGTCTGACACAATGGCAGTATTTTATGGGAGGAGTATGGTTTTGTTTTGTTTTATTAAGGTCTGGAAAAAGTCTGTGGACAATTCCATTTGCCGAGTGTGTGAGTGGGTATGTAAAAGACACATGTTTTGAATCCCATGACCTTCAAGAACTATCTAGGGGAAAGGTCTAATTAGATACGTCTTTCTTTCTCTCTCTCTCTCTTTCTTTCTTTCTCTCTCTCTCTGTCTCCCTCTCTCCCCCCTCCCTCCCTCCCTTCCTTCCTTCCTTCCTTCCATTCTTCCTATCTTTCTTCCTTTCTTTCTTCTTGCACCCAGCCTTAGTGGCAAATGTTATTTATGCGTTAAAGTGCCTACATTGATGGGCATGCAATAAATGTTATATCACAACAATTAAGTTTAATGAGACTTAATGGGTTGTCTCACAGCTTTGCCTTGGCTTCCTGGGACGCCTCCTCTATCCTGATTACAAGGCTCTGACTGGCTGGTCCTGCTCCACGTCAGTTCCATCTTTGCGGGGTCATCTAGTTTTGCCCCATTCATTGCAGACCCTGTCCTTTCCTCACCCTGTCAGGGAATGTAAGGTTGCCCCACCCCTTGTCTCCTTTAGCCTCTTCCTTTGTGCTTTCCCTCAATCTTCTTTCACTCTTACTCTTATGCCTACTTTCTTTCCTCCATATTTTCTTTACCCCCCCCCCTTTCTCCTCCTTTCCCCCGTTTTCTCCTCCAGCCTTCTTTGTCCTACCCCTTTTATAGCAGCTTTTCCCCAGGAATCACTCCCACCCCAACCTCGGGCTGCCATGTTCGCACTGATGTTATTGCCTTGTGGGTGAAACTGCTCATCTGCCCCAAGTCAGAAGAAAGCAGGGAAAGTCAGGAATGTTGCATTGCAAACAATATATATCCAAATATACATTCTAACCCCAACCCCATATAAGGTTGTTTTTAAGCATGTTTTGCTTTCTTTTTTTCTTTCTTTTTTCTTTCTTTTAGACAGACTCTTGCTCTGTCACCCAGGCTGGAGTGCAGTGGTGCAGTCTCAGCTCACTATAACCTCTGCCTCCTGGGTTCAAGCTATTTTTGTATCTTGGCCTCCAGAGTAGCTGGAATTACAGGCGTGTGCCACCATGCTCGGCTAATTTTTGTATTTTTAGTAAAGATGGGGTTTCATCATGTTGGCCAGGCTGGTCTCAAACTCCTGACCTCAAGTGATCTGCCCACCTTGGCCTACCAAAGTGTCAGGATTATAGGCATGAGCCACCGCACCTGGCCCACGTGCTTTCTTGAAGTCAGACTATATATCTAAACCCCAACCCCATATAAGATTGTTTGTAAGCATGCTGTGTTTTCTTGAAGTCAGACTATAGAGCCAGGATAAATTAATTGTCCACAATGCCATACATGGCCCTATCCACAGCCATATAATTCACATAGAATTATATGTGGGAAAACAGATCAAGAAGATTAAAGTATGATACTCTTTTGATATTCGGTACTCAGTGATCTCTCTGAGCTTCTGAAGTGGAGCATACTCAGGAAGCTGACTCCTTCTAGTTTTATTGGATTCTCAGAATGTTTAAAGTATCCACCTCACACCCCTCGCAGAAATTCTCCCTTTGCAGCCAGGATTATGACTTTACAGAGGGAAAAAGATACGGCAGCTACTAGTGGCTAGTGTACAGGACCCAGAAGATGGCAGAAGTTGCTCTAATGCTTGTTAAGGACACTGTAAGGTCAAAGAAGCAATGCCAACAATCCCACCATTGTCACACCCCTGCTGCAGCCCCCTTTAGGACACCACAGAAAGTCTACACAGTAACACGGGGACAGCAAGAGGCCACATACTCCATGCTGGGGCATAAGGTGGGCACGACAATTTTTCACTCCTTGGTCTGAGTAAGCGAGCCTTGAGGTATCAAATCATTATGTTTGAGTGTTTGGAAGGCCACGCCATCTATCCTCCCACCCAGGGCAGGAATTCTTGCTCCCACCTTTCCTTTCCTGAAGGTAAAATAGGAAGCACAAGGACGCATACTCGAGTCCCCAAAGAATGGCAGGATGCCCTCAGTGGAGGCAGACTGTATTTAAATGCAATTCACCTCTTTGGGGTCTAGGAAAAGCCACCCGTAGGTTCATTTGCTGGGAAACACGGTCTGCGTGGCTGAGGCAGTGGACAGCAGGGTTGTGGCCTTGCCAAGAGCTGACTTTCTCCGGAGGTCTGTCTGCTGTCCGGAGTGGCAGCCGCTTCGGTGGGCAAATAGGACGGTCATCTCTGGGCCCAGGGACGCTGCTTCAGGCTGGGACGCCTTGAGGGTGGCCGGCTGTTCAGGCTTTCCGGAGGTGGGATGGGAGGTGTAATGTTTGGTGGGAGGAGGGCTGTAATTCTGAAATCTCACAGTTTTGACTTGCTGCAAGAGAAAGGAGAGGAAATGGACATAGGTGAGGTGGGAGATGTCTATTTCCCTATGCTTGTCCCCACTTGAAATGCCTCATTTATGCATTCATTCTGCAAATATCTGTGCCTACCACGAGTGTCAAGTGCTACGATGGAGGAAGTACGAGATGCTGAGCATGCAGAGGAGCATCTAACAGTGGAGAAGCCAGGGAAGTCTTCCCAGAGGCTTTCAATCGAGAACCACAAAAGGATTAGGACTTATCTGGGAGAAACGGGGTAGGCCACCGCCTATGAAAACAGCCTGAGGCCAGAGGGTATGATCCCTTCTGGAAGATAAAAGACATTTACCTTGCCTCTCTCCTCTCTACGTACGATTAAGGCCAATCTCAAGGCTTTCCTTTTCTTTGAGGCCTCTCTCCTGATGACTCCATTTAGAGATTTCCATAATGGCCTTATAAATCCTTAGAGCACAGTTTGCAAACTGGACACCTGCTGGCTGAATTTAGCCTGCAGAATGTTTGAGGGTTTGATCGACTTGCCAACACACAAAAATTGAGAGATTGCATATAAAAATCAGAATTTCATATGTCTCGTAAAAAAAAAAATCAGAGCTCTGGCACACTGGCCTATGCCTCATTCTGACAACAGCTGACTGGACCTGAGAAGCAGTGCCCCCTTTACATGAGATGCGAGGTCTCTAGTTTGTGCCAATTCCCCCTCTTCCTCTTTCCTTTCACCTCTCCTGACCTGTTATATATCTGCCGGGTACCTATAGGTACAGTATTTGCTTTAGCCAGTCTCTCTCTTAGGGCCTAATAAAGCGTTCTGTGGTACTGCTCAAGAATGATGCCTTTCTTCCATGTAATTCAATCCTCGTGTCCCCCACTAAGATCTGAGTTTCTTCATACTTTCTGACCCTCGTCATATCTAGCTAAGATCTGGGCATTTATGAAATGCTTGTAGTTGTATCTAAAAGTTTGGAATAATAGGCAACTGGGGCCTAGAAAACTCTGAATTATTTCTGTAATTCGGAAAAAGAACTCCCAACCTTTATATCTGTTGATGCTTTTTCCAATGCCTTTCCCTATGAGCTTATAGCTTAGCAGTAAGAGCATGAGTTTTGTAACAGATCTGGATTCTACTTCACACTTATGTGTCAGCTGTGTGGTCTTGGGTAATGTTCTTTAACTTCCTGAGCTGCCATTTCCTAATTTTAAAATGAGGATGAACCTAACGCCTATTTGAGAGGGTTGTTGTCAGGATAAAATAGACGGGACACATGAAGTACTCAGCACCGTGTCTGCCAGCTTGTTAGTATTCGGTAACTGGTTAACCAATGGGGGAATCACATCCTCTTTCCGTTGTGAGGGGAATGGACGATGATGGTGGAATGATGCTGATGGTGGTGGTGATGGAGGTGGTGATGGCGATGATGTGATGATGATGGTGATGTTCCATAAATTAAAAGACAGCAATAAGCATCACTTAACTTTCTTACTGCCTTCTCTTGCCACCATCCCTCCTGCTTCATGGATATTATTGAGAACATAAGCCTTTTACAAAAACTCTTATGTCTTCTAGTGGGAAATGTCCTGAACTAGAAGTTAACAGATCTGACCTCTGCCACGGAGGTCACAATAAGGTAGTTGCAGTCATTATCATTCAGTGTCACTTCGATGTCACTTACATTATCCTGTGTCTCAGTTGCCTCTTTTATACAATGCATAATTATGTGTCAAACCCTATGTAAGCACTTTACATATCTCATTTAATCTCCACTCCAATACTGTGTGGCCATTACTCTTTCTACCTCCATTTTACAGATTATGCAAAGTAAGTGTCTCAGAAGGGTGAAGTATTTTGACCAAAGTCACCCAGCTAGCAAGCAGCAGAGCTGGAATTCAAAACAAGATTCGTCTAATGCCAAAGTCATGCTTTTTTTCCCAGCCACTTTTGGGCCTCAAAAGATGTACAAAATATTCAGGAAACAGAAAGGCGAATCAGTAACACATGTAGGGAGGGCGTGGGTGACGTGGGGATGTTGGACATGGCTCGGTGGGGAGTTGGAGGGGAGGAGTGTTGTGCGTGAGGATTCTTTCAAGGTTACAATTTTGGTTCCTTGTTCACCAACACTAAAATCTCAGAGCTGAGACACTATGCGTAGTAGGCGATTGAAAGAGTCGGGCCCCCAATGTCACTCTGATCCTACCTTTTCTATGCCATTTCTTGAGTTTTCTGGTTTCACCAGGATGGATGGTGGGGCAGATGCAGGTGGTTTTGGCAGAGGCTCACTCTTGATGGGGATTTCCTTGTCTTCCATGATGAGGGAGCTGGCTGCCGAGTGGATCCGGGCCTCGCTGCCCCTGCTGATGCACGTGAGGGCGGGCTCCCCCGTGAGGGCAGGCTTGGACCCCATGTCCACCACCATGGTCGAGGGGGAGGAGGGGACCCCCTGTGGCTGGTAGAATTGGAACTGCTGAGGCCGAACAACCATGGTGGGGCTGCGTCTGAGGGAGCCTACCACGAGAGTGGGGATCCCGGACTGGATGGGTCTCTGCAGGGATCCATCTGGGGAATTATAGGACAGAAAAATCAGCAGCAGGGGCGGCTGGCAGTAGGTTGGGTGGGGCTGGGTAAGCAGTGCATCCTGATATCCCAGAATAGACAAGTGCTTTCCTCATCTGACTGCACTCGCTTTCTCTCGGGGTCTTTCAAAGGTGACTTTATTCTTTTTTTAGTGCTGTTTGCTGATGCTGGCAGCAAATAGCTCTCCGGCTGAATGGGGTGTGTGTGTGTGTGTGTGTGTGTGTGTAGGGGAGCTGTCAGAAGGTATATTGCTTCCATGTGCCTTGTGACACACACATACACACACACACCCATGTGAAGCAGACACAGGCAGGCAGACCAAATAGGAAACAAATGACAGAATCAGAGACAGGAGATAGAAGAAATTGAGAAACACAAAGGAGAGGCAACCAAGAAGAATGAGAAAGAGGAAAAGGAGAAAGAGGAGGAGAGAGGAAAACTCTGCCCAGCGACTTGCTGTGAAAATCCTAACAGAAGCTTTAGGCATATGATGGGTGGGGGTTGCTTTTTGTCGGGGGCTGCAGGGAGAAAGGGTGAGTGGAAATAACTGTGATTGTTAGGCAAGCACAACAGCAGATAGAGGCAAATTTGGAAAGGTTATTCCACAGTTAGTGCTGTGAGGATGGGCTTTGCAATGTCTCACGACAGAGCATCTGGAATCGGACCTCCTCCTGGAAAGCCTGGGATGAGTTAAGTCCCGTCACCTCTCTGTACCTTCGTTCTCTCATTTGTAAGCTGGAGATAATAACAGTACATCATTGGGCTGCTGTGAGAACTACATTCTATCAGGTGTGCAAAGTGTTAAGATAGTGCCTGGAACATGATAAATGCCACATGTTTGTTAGCTCTTATTATTTTTGGCTAAAGGATCGCATATCCTAAAAATGCAAGGTCCAAGAGCTTGGTTTTGTCCCTTCCTGAGCTCATTCTTCTTCTTCTCTCTCTCTCTCTCTCTCTTTTTTTAAAATTGAGATGGTCCTATCTCAGGAAAAGGTCATTTCTTCCCCTCGAATTCCCTGGAAGGCAGGAGATCCCCGTCCCTTGGACATATGTCCTGAAGGTGACCTGGGGAATTGGGAGTTCATTGCATTCTGTGGGGAGGTGGAGGAGACACCCCTGAGAAACACAATGGGCCATTTCTCCATAAGGGTTCCACAGCATTTAGAGAGCTGTAGGTTTTGTCCCAGCCAGAGTTGTTAGTCCTTTGCGACACTCCACGGACTCGAGTTTGAATCAAAGTCATTTGTGTCCAACACAGAGGGTCTGAGCCAAGGCCACGTTGGCATTGCGACTTCTTATCAAGCCAGTGGTGTACATGAAAAGCAGGACACTTGCTAAACACAGTCGGTGTCCTTAGCTGCTGCAAGCAAGCCAGTCACCATTTACACAAGTGTGACCTTTCCATTTAGACATTTATTTCTCCACTGACACCCTGTGAGTTTCATGCGGTCAGTTCTCCTGCCATTTCTCTTTGCTCTGGAGAGACTGAGAGCTTGCCAGCCTCACCTTGGGAAAAGAGAGAAAGAGAAAGCCTCTGGGACCTGGGAAGTCAAAGCAGCACCAGGCAGACATGTCCTCAGGCTCTTGTAAATGTGTGAAAAATTGGCTTTATGCCTTATCTATTTATCTTGTCAATTCCTAATTTCCAAGAGATTTAATGCTTTCTTATGACATGTGCATACAATGCAAGCAGTCAAGGCTCCATGCCAATCAAGATTTTGCAAAGGTGGAGAGGGAGTATGTTAAGGAAAGTGTGAACAATTGCTTTCAGGATGCAACTCTGCATACCTAAGTGGTCTAGACTGAGTGTGAACATTTCTTCTTTTTTTAAATCAAATATATATAGATACTAACAGCCCAGACTGGAGTGCAGTAGGAGATTGTAGCTCACTGCAGTCTCAACCTCCCTGGCTCAAGCCATCCTTCCGCCTCAGCCCCAAAAGTAGCTGAGACCACAGGCATGTGCCACCATACTTGGCTTGTTCTTTTAATATTTTTAGAGATGAGGTCTCACTATACTGCCCAGGCTGGTCTTGAACTCCTGAGCTCAAGTGATTTTCCCACCTCAGCCTCCTGAAGTGCTAGGATTGCAGGTGTGAGCCACACACATTCAGCTGTGTATGAACATTTCAACCTTAAGTGAGTTTGTGCTCTGGATGGACCAAAGATGATCTTGATTGTAGTAGCAATGATAGTAATAAAAAATATTATAAAAAACTAAAGTTTTCTGACAGATTACTATGTGACAGGCACTGTGCTATCAGCCATGTATGGGTTGTTTTATTAAGTTAACCCTGATGAATTTTTATTTCCCATTTACAGAAGAGTGAACTGAAGGCGGAAGAAGTTAGTCATTTTCCCAAGGCTGTTGTGGTGGGATTACTTATTGTGTGTGTGTGTTGTGGGGAGAGGTGGAGGGAGGTACAGGAAGGTGATGGAGGGAGGCATGGTTGAGTGGAATGAAGTGCCCAGAATTGTGAGACTGGTGGTCAAACAGGCTGTCAGATGAAGGCACTGGACAGTGAAGCTAAGATATGTGCTTTCTTTTTAAGGGGAGATCTTTGCTTAAAAAGGGGCATATTGTCCCACACGTTACTCTTCTGCCTTGACCAATCATACTGCGTTTTCATGTTAATTCATCTGTTAAGATCACAAGAGAGATTGCAGAGCTTAGTTTAATTCAGGGAACACAGAACAAATCATATTTACTGGGCTTGGCTTGTCTTCTTCTACAGAAGTATAAGAAAATAAAGTCTTGATGTTTTGTAGAAGAACTGGGTTTCAAACACTTTTTACAACGCCTGAAAAGGAAATCTTATGGAGAAGTTCACTATGTGAAGAGACAAAAGCATGGTTCTTGAGAATCGGTATGTATTGCCATGTGTGCAACGTGGATGTTATGATGGTAAAAATAAAGCAAGGTGCAGAATAATGCAGTGAATATTGTTAACAGGTATGTGTGTTTCCTATCTATCTAAGGAAGAGAACTTGGGACTCAGGGTTAAGGATATGAGAGAGATTTGCTTTTGTCCAGTTTGTATACTGTAAACCTTTTTAAAAAAGTTCTATGCATTCATTACTTAAATAACATAGTGGGAATCAGGGGCTCTGATCACTGCCTCCTTAATCCTCATTTCCCACTCCCATACCCTGCCCACCCACCCCATCCTTCTGTTTCTGTTGTGACACCCTCTGAGGCATTCCCTGCGGTACAGTTTGAGAAGCACTGACCCAGCAAATGCTTTCATCACTCTAAATAAGAGCCAGTGTCCACGTTGGCCATGTTCTAATTATGTGTTGGCACTCAGGGCTGCCATCACCCCAGTCATTCAACAAGCATGTATGAAGTAACCTAGGGCCATGACCTTGAGTTAGTATGACTTCATTCAATAAAACGCATCATTTGGGAATTGTACAATACCCTTTGCAGGGGCTTAGTTTAAAGCCAAGATCCTGTTTTTGCAAAAAGCATCCTGTGTACCCCGGGGTCAGATCCCCCCATCACTTAGCTCTAGGCACGTACCTCTCTGCCACCACTTACTCTTTCTCATGCTGCTCCGCCCTTTCCGAAGAGACCCTTGTCCTAAAGTCCCAGGGCCGGCTGTGCTCTTCACGGGGTTGACTATGGCAGTGGGCACAAAGACGGATTTGAATGGACGGCTTTGCCGGGGATCACCTTCTGAAATGCTGCCTTGGGAGGACACAGAGGAGGTGGATAACGTCCATGTGGCGTAAAGACCAGGGCTCCGGGAGTCTGGAAAACTAGAGGTCTTTCTGGTTTTGGACATTTTTTTTTTAAGAGAAGAAATAGAGAAAGAAAATGTTCAGTCAAGAGTCCTATTTAAAAACCTATCAGCTCCCAACCACATACCAAATGTGGCTACTTCTCACCTTCTTCCCACCCATACACACCCGTTTTGTCAACTACAGGCTTAACTAAAGTTGGCCCCACCTCCCTACACCCAGATAACTGTGAGGGTGTGCTGAGGGAAGGAAGGGGGCTCATATCAAGGCCTTGGTGGAGTTAGAAGACTTGAATTTCATCCTTTTTCACTCCAGTTCTGATCATTCCTCACCCCACATCCCTTTAGCCCTTAAGCTCAGAACATAAGATCCTGTACGTGTTTATTTCGTTTTACGGTGGCAATTTCTCGTGGAGTCAGTGACTTTCACAAATTCCAAAGTCTTTGAAGGCAGAGATTTCATATGACTTATATCTCTGTGTTCTGCATATACTGTGGATCAATAAACATTTGTTATATGGCTGCCATGCTGCTTTCAGCACTGATATGTCATTTTGGATAACACATATAGAGGGCTTACTGTATGCCAGGTATTGGCCAAGTGCTTTGCCCATATTTTCTCATGGGTTCTTTACAATAGTCTTTTAAGGTAGGTACTCTTAGTGCCACTATTTTATCAATAAAAAACACAAAGACTTACAGTTGGTTGCCCAAGCAACTACTTGAACCCAGGTCTAGGCTGGCTCTCTGTTCTTACCAGTGAGCTACACCACCTCCTGGCTAGTTGGAACATTCATCATAAAGGCAGGAAAAGTCCTTTATTCTGCCTGAAATAAATGAACTAAAGCAGCCAGTAGGCCCTACATATGCCTCCATAAGACTTTAATTCTTCAGCCTTGGGCTATGATTTTCAAGAATTGCATTAAAATTTTATGAAACAACAACCCCTTATCCACTGTTTCCAGCCTGCAGCTCCCTGAACTCCATGGGGAGTGACTGTCATTTTACATGCCTTTCTTGCCCTTTTACCAACCCATTCCCAACATCACATTTCCTATTGAGCAGTCCTTTAATCACCTTGTCACCCTGTTGATTAAGTAACCTCTGCTAATTTCCTGGGAATAACCAACTCAACTCAGACCCCAGCACAGAGATGCCAAGTGGTTTCCTTCTTACCAATGCCTCCAAGTTTTCCTTTAGGTCATTTACCCTCATTTCTCCTCTCTCTCTTTGTCTCTACTTCTTTTGATCGACAAAGTAATATGTAGTTTAACAACAAGCCAGTATTGTATAATGATAAGTAAGGCATTGTTTATGGTCAATGCTGCCCAAGAAGTATATTCAACCAAATGCTCTAGGAACTGATGCTCGCAGCAAGGGGACTTCTACCCATAGCTGTCTACCCAACCTGTCTGGTCCCCATGGTGGTGTAGTCAGTGAAAACAAGTAGGGCCATTCATTAGAGACAGGTCAGGCTATATTCTGGGGACAAGGCCTGGGCAGTGGGGAGAAATCCCCAGCATTGGCTTCCATGGCAGAGTGCAGCTGATCTGCCTATTTTGAACAGAGGCCTCAAGGTGTTGGATGCTGCAAAGTGGATTGGAAATGGGAAAGACAAGTTCCAAAATTTTCCCAGTGGTAGCAGCAGCAGCAGCAGCAGCAAGGGCAGAATACAGCTAATTAGGCCCACACCAGCCTTATTCCATCAGTCCCTTTTATGAATGACTGTTTATAGACCAACGTGTGACCTCATTTTTCTAAGCTCAACACTGAGCTGGATTCCAGGAACTCCTAAATCCCAAGTCCCCCATCCAACACTGAGTGCCTCTATGTCTTTTGGCAGAAAGCTCAGCACTTATCTAGTACTTTCTTCCAATGTCAAAACACTTTGCTATCATTTTTAATCCTCATGACACCCCCAGACCTGCAGACATTATGATCTTTGTTTTCCAGATGGAGGGACTGAAAGACATTCTGGGCTTAGGTGGGAAGAGTGGATGTTGCCTCTGATTTGCTCCACTGTGCACGTCCCTACATCCTTTTCTCTAACTGGGATGTTAGCCCTTAAGAGCTGGCCCAATATTCAAAAAGGGCATCACAAACAGCAGCTGTGCTGTGTTCACCACTGGCAGCAGCCTCCCAGTAGGGAGAACAGTTGGACCTTGACAATTTTTGTATAGCTCTGTGTAGAGTTAAAGGCAAATGAGTGGTGGCCCATTTGTCACTTTTCTCTACCCATAAGGCACCAGGTAGGCATATATGTCTGTGAAAGATGCAAGAAAAAGGAAGACCCTGGCTAATTGGGCAGAAGGGAATTTATTAGGAGGACAGGAAGAAGAGTAGAGGACTTGGAAACAAGATCCAAGAAGGCTACAGGGAGCTCAGCAGCAGGAAGAGTCCAATCATGTGCTGTGGCTGGTGCTTTCACTATGAATGGTCTTTAACTTTACCCACATCTTTTCCTCCCTTGTTCAAGTTTCCAAGTCCCAAGAGGGAGTGTCATATTGGCTGAGCCTGACCCTTAGCTGTGGTGATGAGTTGGGGAGGAGGAGGATTGCATTTCTTCAGCCTCTGAAAACAAAGGAAACCTCTGCCTCCCACCAAGACTACACACAATAGGGGAGACCCAAAGGGATGTTGCTGCTATTAAAGAGGGATTTAGATGCTGGACAGATGACAACTTGACAAATGTTCTGCATAACCTGAGGATCTGGGAAGAGGCAACATGGTGGCGGAGATTTAGCTGTGGTCAATAACAGCTGGACAGGTTGGTGTCATCATCTAGCACAGAGGGCTGGACCACAGAATAGCACAACAGACTTTTCCTCTCCTGGTAGCTGAAAGGCTCACTTGCTGACTCTTAAATTGAAATCCTAGCATTCTGGTCAATTATAATCTCTAGTTTATCCCCAAATTCTAGCTGGCTCAGTTCATTAGGGGATGATGTTAATAAGAACATAGGCTCAAATGCTCACATCTTTGGGCCCTGGCTATTTTATAAAAGGCTGCAGTATATACCAAGGGGGCTGGATGGCAGTGAAAAGCCATCACTACAAACAGAAGACAAAGGCTAGGGGGAAAAGGACCCAAACACAGAGAATCAAAGAGCAGAAAGGGGCCTTGCACATGTAGCCCAATCTACTCAGTTCTTACACAAAACTTGCTAATAGTAGCAGAAACTCAGCTGACAAAGGACGGTATTATTCATCCCTGAGACATGGGAAGAAGTAAACTTCCCACCAAGGAAAGGGTGGTTAAGAACAAGGGTTACCTGCACGCAGATAGACAGACTGGGTATATATCATTCATGTTGGAGATTAGTGGGGATGGGAGCTTTTTTTTTTTTTTTTTTTTTTTTTTTTTTTGCATCAGAGGGATCATCAAGGAAACAGTATAAACACATTGAAAGCATTGATCCTCTGCCACCTAAGAACCCTCAGGAGCATATCCTCTATATGCACTTGTTCTTCTTCAGGATGTTGGTTCCCCATAAACAAAACCATGCCTCAGTGTTAGCGGCACCTCAATATTTGCATATGTTCAGATTTCCTTGAACTGGGAGTGAGGGGAGAACTCAATGGCAACCTATTGTGCTGAAACTCCATCCATTGCTTGACACGTAGGCATCTCACAAGGGGTGAGTAGAGATGCTCATGACTTGCCCAAGAACACAATAGACCGACCTCGGCCAAGGAGAGAAATGAAAACTGGAGCTTTGAAATACACTGGGATGAAATTCTATACATACTCTACTTAGGATGACCACATGGCTCGATTTTCCCAGGAGAGTCTCAGTTGATACCTGCCCAAAAGTGTCCTAATTTGGATGATTAAGCATATGGTCACTCTTATTCTATTGAGTCTTTGATGGTGTAACCAGTATTTGGGACTAAGGCCTGATGGATAAGCAAACACCCTAGTCGTAGGGATGGGCCCTGGGGAATTCATGTTAAAGCCATGGAAAAAACCTTTCATAAATTAGGGTAGGCATCCTCCTTGCTCCTCACTGTCAGTTCTAGGGCATTTCCCACCCTCCTCAATACTTCCCAACTTTGACTCATATTATCAGGCTCGACTACCCACCACTCCACCTTCCTGCAGTCAGCATTTACTCTCCAAGTTTCTCCTCTCACTCCTTGAAGATTTCATCTTCTGGCTTGTTGTCACTCTCTGGATACAACTCATCCCACCATGATGATCTCATCTCGTTTCAGGGCTTTAAATAGCATCTCAAGGCTGGAGTTCTCTCTTAAATGCTAAACTCATACATTCAGCTGCTTACCAACATCTTTACTTGGATTATTAAGAGGCATCTCAGGCTTAGTCTGCTGTGAACTAAGCTTTTACTTCCCTCCATACCCCCAAACATGCTCCTTTTATGGAGCAGTCGCTATCTCATTTAAAGGCAACTCCATCTTCCAGTCACTCAGGGAAAACAACATGGTCTCACCTTGGATCCTCTATTCTTTCACACCTGACATTTTATCTGTTAGAAAACCCTGTTGTCTAAGGTATATTCAGAATCTAACCACTTCTCCCTACCTCAACAGCTAACACCTTGGTTCAATTCACCATCACCTCTCCCCAGGATTATGGTATCTTCTTAGCTAGTTTTTCTGCTTCCACCTTTTCCTTTGTATAGTTTATTCTCAACCCAGCAAATAGAGGGATTCTGGTTAAATGCAACTAAGATTATGTCACTCTTCTGCTCAAAACCCAGCAACAGGCTTAAAGCCAAACCCCTCATTATGACCTAGGAAATTCTTTATGACCTGGCTACCCCATTACCAGTCTGGCCTCCTTTCTAATCTCCCCCTTGCTTGCTCTAATCCAATCCTGTTGGCTTCATGTAACCTGTGTCCTCCCGGTTCAAGCAATTCTCTTGCCCCAGCCTCCCCAGTAGCTGGGATTACAGGCATCCACCATCACGTCCGGCTAATTTTTGTATTTTTAGTAGAGACGAGGTTTTGCCATGTTGGCCAGGCTGGTCTGAAACTCCTGACCTCAGGTGATCCACCCACCTCCGCCTCTCAAAGTGTTAGGATTAACGGCGTGAGCCACTGCGCCCAGCCTACTACAGGACCTTTGTTTGTACTTGCTGTTTCTTTAGCCTGGACATTTCCCTCAGAGATCCACATGGTTTGGTTCCTGCCTTCCTTCTTACTTCTCAGCAAAGCCATCCCTGACCAACCTATGTAAAATTGTAACCACCCCCAAAAATCCTATCATCCTTTCCTAATTTTTTTGTTAGCCAGTATAATTAACACATCATATAGATTACTTAAATATCTTAGCTTTAAAAATATTCATCTCTCCCACTACAATGTAAGCTCCTGTAAGCAGGAATTTTGTATATTTTGTTTACTGGTATTTCTCCAGTGCCTGGAAAAGTTCCTGCCATGTAGTTAGCACTCAATATTTGCCAAATAAATGAATTAAAGCATCAATTGTAGACCTCAGTTTGCCCTTAGGTATTTTACAACTTTGTAACCAATTTCAAGAACTTTCCTTTGAAAGGAATAGCTATGATCTTTCATCCCACTTTCTGCCACATGAAGAAATCTTTTTACACAACCTTAGATCTATGAGGACTCAGGCCAACTTTGCCTGCACTCTTTCTAAAAAGAGAGTCCACCATCTCACCAGCTAGCCTGGTTGGAAAAATCTATGCACTAGAAAATGCTGCCTTTTATTGAACCAAGATGTTCTTGAACATCTTAGTTTACTGAACAAGACCAGTTGCATACACTGGTCCACTCCACTGCCCCCTCTCAGAACAAATTTACTGCCCTATTTACACAGTATCTTACGATCCCTCTGCCCCTTGTCTTCTACAGGTTAAATAATCCCAGTTTCTTTATCGGTTTCTCCCATGATGTAGTTTGCTGTCTCCTCACCATTATTGCTGCCCTCCTCCGGACGCAGCGCCTCACCTAAATGAAGGTCCCCAAAAGTGGGCATATGACTAGGTCTGACCCCCACAGAGTACAATGGGGCCCTTTCCCTGTGATTGTGACCCTCTGGTATGTCATAAAGACAGTACTTGATGTGTGGTGGTAGCCTCACTGCCTTGAGACAGGGTTTGCTTGGGCTGATGTGGGGTGGAGGCAGGAGGAGTCATGGATAGTTTTGGGGTCTGGGTGCATTTGTGGCAGTGGTATGAGGTGGCAAGACAAAGAGGGGGTCAATGACATGAATAGTGTGCCACACAATGTAAAAGATTGGGAAAAGCTGTGAGGGAGGAGGCCCTGCAGCGTGACTAGCATTTCATCTTGGGTGTGGAGGAAGAGGTAGGGGTCTGAGTTCATGGAAACTCTGATTAGGGGTCACTCTAGCAGCCTGAGAAGTTTCCCAAGGTGCTCTGGGGAAGTCATCTGATCACATTTTCCCATCACGCCACTAGATGGAGCATTGGGATAGAGGATGTGAAGTGGGGTTCCTGGGATTTGTGCAGAAGAAAACCTGACATCCAGTTCTTGAGCAAGTTGCTTAACTCTGCACACCATTTTCATCTGGAACATAATATCTACCTTACAGGATTCTTGGGCACAGCCAGTGAGCTAAGAGATACAAAAGTGCTTGTAAGCTGTGAAGGGCTACAAAAAAGATAACTAGTTTTGCTATTTTGTTTAAAAGAGATAGGCGGGTTAGAGAGCAAAAAGCACTTTCTTGGCCTGTTTGCTGAAAGAGCATTGGGTCCTCCACCAGTTCAACCCACCGATGGCCCCTGGCCTAGGGTGGCCTGAGCTTCCAAAGTCTGAGATTGGAGGTGACGCACCTGAAAATGGGGATGACGTAATTGTTCGGGAAGATGCCAACTCGCCCGGTGACCAAGGAGACGCCCCTGAGCCAGCCGTCCTGGCACTTCCCCAGGACCCTGACACCTTCTCCCTTTTGCAGGTCCAGCTCATCGGGTCCATGGGCTGAGTAGGAGTGCAGGGCTACAAACCTGGGAAGACAAAGAAAACTGGTGGGGAAGGAAGATGTGCCTGATGGGGGGCATGGAGCGGGGGAATGGTGGAGGGAGACTGCCCGGTGGTTAGCAATAAGAAACTTCTTGGCCGAGCGGGTGCAGTGGCTCTCGCCTGTAATCCCAGCACTTTGGGAGGCTGAGGCAGGTGGATCACCTGAGGGCACGAGTTCGAGACCAGCCTGGCTAACGTGGCGAAATACCATCTCTACTAAAAATACAAACAATTAGCTGGGCATGGTGGCACGTGCCTGTGGTCCCAGCTACTCGGGAGGCTGAGGTAGGAGAATCACTTGAACCCAGGAGGCGGTGGCTGCAGTGAGCCGAGATCGAGCCACTGCACTCCAGCCTGGGTGACAGAGTGAGACTCTGTCTCAAAAAACAAAACAAACAAACACCGCCCCCCCAAACAAAAACAAAAACAACAAAGAACCTTCTTAACACAGAAACCTGGACATGTAAGGCAGATAAACATGGAGCACCTTTGTTGAAATAGTGGTGGAGGAGGCCAGGTCCCTGCCTTCATCTCCCCATCATCCTCCATACAGTGCACAGCAGCAAATCACTAATTTAGGTCAGTCTCAGCACTTTAACCATGGGGAAACAGGCCTCCAACAAGGAAAGGAGTTTGCGACAGGAATTCATGTCAGAGACGAGCCTCAAACCTAGAAGGTGCTGCTCTACCTAGGATGCTTTTGCACTAGTGCTTGCTGGGTCCCCAAGGAAATGGTGGCAGCCAGCAAGGCTCAGGGGAATAAGAGGTCAGCATAGAAGCCTCTCTGATCCAGAAAGCAGGGACGTGTTTGACTCCTGGGAGTGGCCTGAGGAGCCAACTTAATGTAGGTGGGGAAGTAGATGCTGGGAAGTGGGAGGCAGGAGGTAAGTTTTGGGTTTGGCACCCAGGGGAATCCTGGCTGCGTGGTGGGACTGTGAAATTGGCCTGTGTCATGGCAGAAAGTCCTCAACTTAGAGCAGAGACTTTGCTCCCTGAAGTCCATACAGGAATCAGGCAGGTAATATCCAGGTATGAGTCAGAGGGGTAAAGGCAATCAGGACAGCTGAGGCTGTGGAGGTGAGAATAGCTACCTGATCCAAGGCGTTCAGGAAATAATTCATTGGTTTGCCAGATTCAGGGGTCACCAGTATATGGCCCCCAGGCATCTCAGACATCAGGAAGCCCTTCCAGACTCCAAGGACTATGAGACGCTGGAGCATTTTATCAAACGGAATGGGGGAGTGTTCTCTACAAGGTTTTTTTTTTTGTTTTTTCTTTCTAAAATGCTATATTTAGTTTTTGCTGATTACTAAAACAACATCTATTTATGACCCAACATTTTGAATCTAAAGCAAGACAATAGAAATTGCTCAATACCAATCTCCCAGTGATGTTGTGGCATATAATCTTCCAGTCTCTTTCTACTTTTGTGAAATAATGAGCTAAGAGTGATGTGGTTTGCTAATTTGTGTTGTCTTTTTTTTTTTTTGTTTTTTGAGACAGGGTCTCACTCTGTGGCCCAGGCTGGAGTGCAGTGGGATGATCGTAGCTCACTGAAGCCTCAAACTCCTGGGCTCCAGTCATCCTCCTGCCTCAGCCTTCTAAGTAGCGAGGAAAACATGTGCACAACCATTTCTGGCTAATTTTTAAGTGTCTTTGTAGAGATGGGGTCTCACTATGTTGCTCAGGCAGGTCTGGAACTCCTGGGTTCAAGCAATCCTCCTGCCTCAGCCTACTGAAGTGCTGGGATTACAGGTGTGAGCCACTGTGCCTGGCCTTAATTTCTGTTTTTCACCATTATTTCACTTGGAAGTGGTAAAGGAAGGTGACCTATTGTCTCTCTGGATGGGACGGTTTGGGAATGGTGATGCTAGATCACCACCGCACATGGTAAAGATGACCCTTTTGTGCCAGACTGGGGTGAAGGGATGAGCCTTTTACTCACATGTTTGCTGAGAGGTGTTGCTGGGAGCCCGGCAGACCGACCATGGCTGTGCAGTGTCCTGGAGAGACAGGTGCGGGGTGATAAGTGCTGACCTGCACAGACAGAAAAGACAGCCAAGCAGAACCAGTGAATGCCACAACCCAGGCCCACAGCAAACAGAGCAGCTACACAGAAAGACCTGACACAGCTGAAAACCAACAGCCATGCCCGGTGCCACCCATTGTGTGTCCTCTCTATGGTTTGTGGCTGTGGGCACAGGGAGGTGGGGAGGAGCTGGTTTATGGCCTGCTGGGGTGGCATGCCAGGACCGCATTCCAAAAGACTGCTCAGATAGGGTGGAAGATGAAGAGCCGTCCAATTTACAGTCCACAGGGCACTAGCAGGCTCCTCCTCCTGTCCCTCTTCCTACCCCACCCATCTCCCTCTATGAAAACCTGCTCTTGGAAAATGAAACAGTGGAGAATATTGATTCAGAACTGAGCGCTTGCAAGGCAGTTTGAAATGCTTTATAAGTATCAGTTAAGTTAATCCTTATTAAAGGAACTGTTGTAATCCCCATATTTGGATGAGAAACTGAGACAAAGACAGAAAGAAAGGTTACACAATTAGTATGAAACAAAGAAAATCTAAAATCAGGCAGTCCAAGTTCTGAGTCCATACTCATTATCGACTATTGCTAGAATTACACACACACACACACACACACACACACACACACACACACACGCCTAGCCAATGAGTTGTAGAAGTTGAATTTGAATCCCTTTCACTTTTCCAGGATAAAAGAGGAAACAATAATGATAAAACGATAAAAGCTCCTGGAAGGCTGGGCTCAGTAGCTCATGCTTATAAACCTAGCACTTTGGGAGGCTGAGATGGGAGGATTGCTTGAACTCAGGAGTTCTAGACCAGCCTGGGAAACATAGTGAGACCCCATCTCTTTAAAAAAAAATTAGCTGGTTGTGATGGCAGGTGCCTATCATTCCAGCTACTCAGGAGGCTGAGATGGGAGGTTCGCTGGAGCCTGGGAGGTGAAAGCTACAGTGAGCCATGATTGTGCCACTGCACTCCAACCTGGGTGAAAGAATGAGATGCTCTCTCAAAAAAAAAAAAAAAATGTTCCTGGAAGCTGCCTACTATCCTAGGGCTTTGGCAAACATATTGCCTTGCTTACTTTCTTCTGAGCACATATCACAGTTTATGAGTGTTTCCTTGCTAGACTTTAAATTCCATGAGGGCAGGGACGATGTCAGTCTGGTTCATCATTGTATTTCTGCATGCTCAATATGTAATTGTAGCTTAAAGAACAAAGGGATGAGTAAAGGAATGAATGAAAAGGTCTTCCTACCTAGTACACCAAGGATAATGAAACCTTCTCCATGCCATCCAGAGTAAATACATTCAGTCTTTTCAGTCATCTATGATGGCTACACTGTGTGTGCCTTTTTAGGACTATGCTGTTGTAGGTATAACTATTGTTTGTGTATTTGTGTTTATGCAGGTGTGAGTGCATTATTAAATACATATGTCCCTTTGTTTTGAGCAAATGTATATGTTTGCTCAAAGCCCGTGTCAGTTCAGTATACATGTGTGATGGCATTGGGCCATTGCAAATCTGGTTTTGTTCACACATGTGGTCTATGGATTGATGTGTGTATGCTGCATGTGCTGCGTGAGATTGCAGACACAATTGCCTTATGGATTGTAAATATCTGTATGAGATTCTGTGTCTATGCACGTGAACTCTAGAGGTGTGTACAGGTATGCCCACCATGTAATTTTATACATGTGTCTGTATCAATGATTGTGTAAATGTATATGTGGTCGTCATGTATGTATTTGTGATAGTCCAAAGATCAAGTTATAGGATCAAAAAACCACTTTAGTCAAATAGTAAGTGTTGGTGAGGAGGTATAAAATTGGAAACCCTCATACATTGCTGGTTGGAATGTAAAATGGTACAGCATCTTTGCAGAACAGTCTGGCAATTCCTGATATGATTAAACATAGGATTACCATATGACCCAGTAAATCCATTTCTAGAATATGCCCAAAAGAAATGAAAACATGTGTCCATACAAAAACTTATAGGCAAATGTTTCAGCAGCATTATTCATAATAACCCAAAGAGGGAAACAACTCAAATGTCTACTCATTGATGAGTGGATAAAGAAAATATGGTATAACCATACAATGAAATATTATTCAGCCATAAAGAAGAATGAAGTATCGATACATAAGAGAACATGAATGAACCTTGAAAACATTATACTAAGTGAAAGAAGCCAGACACAAAAGACCACATATTATTTGATTCCATGTATATGAAATGTCCAGAATAAGTCAATCTACAGAGATAGAAAATAGATGATCATTTCCAAGGGTTGGGATGATGGTGAATATGAGGTGATAGCTAAAGGGCACAAGGTTTCTTTCTGAAGTGACAGAATATCCTAAAATTGTAATGGTAATGGCTATACATCTGTGAATATACTAAAAACCACTGAGTTGTATACCTTAAATGGGTGAATTGTATGGTAGGTGAATTATATCTCAATAATAAAGAATTAAGAAGAACGAAACCATTCCACAATCACCCTCCTGAGGTACTCTTAGCACTACATAAAATGTTCTGAGTTTGTAATCAGATATTGTTACACCAGTTCCTTCAAACAGATATGACAAGGAGCTGGCTTTGGGCTATGCTGCTCCTTGCCTATGACTGGGGAAGGTAAACCCCTACAGGGCTTATGTTTGTGGAAACTGTCGAAGCACTGATTAAACGGGATGGACTTCACTTAACACTCTTGGATTTCCAATATTATGTTTGAGTAAAGGAACTGCTATCCACAAACACCATTAATCCTTTAGGGAGGGGGAAGATGCCAGAATGCGAAGCCATCTTCCATTACACTAGGGTCTGTCTTTTTACTTCTCTGGGCCTTTATCTGGGGAGGGCATGTTTCCCCCATTTGGAATAGTGAGCCTGGCCAGGAGAGTAATCTGTGGGCTTGTGATGGAGTTATTTCTAATAGGGAATGAGAAAGGATGTTAGTTTCTCAGGTTTTAAAGTGTCCTGGAGGCGAAGAGAAAGGATGACATGAGAAGGAGGAGGAAGGAGACAATGAAGAAGAGGGATGAGGGGGAGATAGTGGAAAACCCTGAGAATAGAATAGGGTAAAACTAGAACAGAGATACTGTGGGAGAACGGTAGCTCCAGAGGGACAGAGCGAGGAAGGAAGGAGAAAAGAGGGAGATAAAAACAGTTTGAACAGGCCATGTTGGAAAACAGATTGGCCATTTTTTATAAAGTTAATTATACACTTTCCATACCACTCAGCAATTGTACTCACAAATATTTACTTAAGAGCAATGAAAACATATGTCCATACAAGGACCTGTACATGAATGTTCAGAACAACTTCATTCATTTTAATGAAAAACTAGAAACACCCCAAATGCCCATCAACTGGTGAATCACCTGGCAAATTGTGGTATAACCACAGCGGTGTACTCCTTAGTGATGCATGAAACAGCAGGATGAATCTTAACATCGCCCTAAGTCAAAGATGCAGGATGCTGAAGACTATATACTATATAATGCCAATTATGTAAATATTTTTAAAAAGAAGCCATAACTATAGTGACAGAAAACAGATTAAGGGTTGACAGGAGCCAGGGTGGGGAGAGAGGACTGATAGCAAAGGGGCACAGGAGAGCTTTTTGAGATGATGCAAATGTCTGCTATCTTGATGTTGGTAGTGATTACATGCTGTATGCGTTTACCAAAAATTATTGAACTGTATACTCAAAATGCTTAAATGTTATTGTATATAATTAAACCTCAATAAAGCTGTTAAAAAACGTGAATACATTATCTAGTTAAGGCCACAGGAAACATCCGAGTAACCTTAGCTTGAGTCAGCTCCAGGTCTGGAATTAGTCAGGAAGGGGACGAGAATCACTTAGCTTCATAGAAGGCAGCTAGCAAGTAACCCTCATGGTAAGGGGCCACCTGAATAGGAGAGAAACCAAGAACAAGAACCTATGGATCAGAGGCTCAATCAATAAGGCAAAGGAAAAATGAACGAATGAATGACTGGAGAAACAGGAAAAGATAACAAGATAGACATAGGCAGAGAAGAGAGAAACTGGGTGGGAAAGAAGACAGGCAGAACAAGACAGAAAGGAAGGCCCCACCCGGTAAGTGAAGACAATCAGACAGATGGCTAACTTCTGAGGAGGCAAGTCTGCTCCTGTCACTGGGATCGAAGAAGGAGGCCCAGCCTTTCTGAGTGAATGGGCCTGGCCCTGGTTCGTTTCCCTGGGGTCAAGTGTGACCTCAGGTGCCCATGCCACAAGGGGTTTTTGAGGCTGGGTGGGAGGTTCTCCACCAACTGATACTCCCTGGCACAGGGTTCCGAGTCCTGAGCAAGATCAGGGTAAGTATGGGTGTGTGGGTGTGGTGGGGAACTGCATTCTTGCTGAAATCTAAACACATTTTTTCCCTCCCTTTTGAAGGAAATGACTCATTTAAAATAAGTCTTTATCAACCACAGCAGAATCCACAGCTATATGGCTTCTCGGAATTTCCAGGTCTTCAGGTGCTAAGTGAGGGAGTAAGAGGGTATGAAGCCTCCTGGCACAGAGTTGCTGGCAATGCTCTGCCCTGCTGGTCCTGCTGCCTTCACCATCAGCCACCCAGGTATAGAAAATGCAGCTACCTCTTAGGAGTCCAGGGAGGAGGTCTAACTTAGGACTCAGGCCAGTGACTCTACCATCTACCAGGACCTGTGATCTTGGACAAGTGGTTGAATTCTGTGGATCCTCCATTTCTTCAAAATCTATAAAATGGGGCAATGATGGTATTTCTCTTTTAGAGTTGTTATGAGGTTTAAGTAAAATAATCCATGTAAATTATTTAGCACAGGATTTGACACACTGTAAGTGCTCAATAGATACTACTTATTTTGATCTGCAAAGAGATTAGTTACTGCGTAGGGTGGGGACAGAGTGGGTGCGGTACCTCTTATGGGACAGCCTGGCAAGTTCTTGGACCGAAAGCAGGACCCAAGAATGTGGTGGGTATGGG